GACAGCATGCTTACTGCCAAACTGGTGCTTCTGTCCCTCTTGAATTGCAACATGTCACACAAACCAATATAATTTTGTTTCCAGTTTCCTGCATGGACCAAAACAAAACCACGCATGTATTTTTTAATGCTCCAATACAAAACTCAAAGCCCTGGTTTCCCAATAGTCAGCCATCCATGCTTTCTCAATGGTTCTTGTTCTATCTTCTGCTCTCTGTTTCACTACCTTTTCACATGCTTTCTGAACAGCATGTGCCCCTGCAGGCTCCAGCCTTCTTTGCTTCCAATCCTATTGTCAGTGACTTGTTTTTGGCTTTTTTTTCTATTTCCTGAATTATGACAAGACTCATAGTCGTTGAACAAGAACAGGAGTCCGAGTGCTTTGTCTGTTGCACTGAATATTTTGCTCACTGTGTTCTTGTTTATTCTCCTCATGAAATTGTTTTGTTTTGGTGATACAGCGCCTAACATCTGTCTCATTAAGTTCTTGAACTATGGTGTATGTTTTTGTCTGTATTCCTGGTTTAACACAAATGACAAACCGTCTTCACACTCTGTTATGAAACTGTCTTCACACTCTGTTACTATGAAACATTTTCCAATGAAAGTACCTGGAACTAAACCATTTTTTTTCATCTACCTGTATCCAGGAAGGAAACAAATTGTTAGACCAAACAATTTGTTTATGGCTATACCTGCAGCATTTTGCAACTTACCCCTGTAGGTTTTTTTAACCCAGAGTCTGTACCTTGTGTCTGCACGCAGTTACTGCCCTGTTGATAGTTCCCACCCAATAACTGACAGACATTACCAGGCCCTCAGGGGCATTCTCCCCACTGCAACTTTCTTTTACCTGTTTTTAAAACTATGTTTTCCACAATGTTATCCTTTACTGGGAACTTTGTGTGCTTGAACAAAACATTTCTTACATAGTTGGTCAGTGTTTGTTTCAACATGGTCTCTATATGGCCCAGTCTTGTGTCCCAAGCGACCACCATACTCTCCTCCTGTTCTTCATTCTGCTTGACTACTTCTGAGGACATGTCTGTTGATAAGCTGTAGACAAATTAATCCAACTTTCTGCAATCCCMAGGTCAAATTGATGGTTTGTAATAGCTGCTGTTTAGCTTGTGTTAGTCTATCTTTCCAACACCTGAATCTGTACCTGTGAACAATAGTTGCCTTTGCAGGTAAAGAACTTTTGTGTCATACTAGAACTTGTTACCCAACTCCCTTTTTGGTTTCACCCCTAGCGCTTTTCAAAATTTGAACCCTTTTTCATTTGAATCCTATCTCAAAAGCTAACTAAAATACGCACAATAGACCAAATGAGAACAACATTCTTGGATATGACCTTTCCTCATTCTGGTACATGCTCTCAGTAACCAAAGCAATCATGGACTATGTTTGAAATATGCAGGAGTTACAAAAATGCTGCTTCTTGCTTGTCAAGTCCCTGGACAGCCTGTGTTTGCTATGTGTGTTCTGTTCCCAGTTGTTTGTTTGGAATCATTTACAAACATTCTTTCATTTGTCTCAGACTGAATTGTGTTCACCAAATCTGATGTCCTGTATATTGCACAAGAAAGATCATGAAGTAAACATTAACAATGTCCACCAATGATGCCAAAACAAGTGCACTTTCTGTAACCAACCACTACCAGAAAAAGCCATTGACAAGTTGAAGAGTTCAGTCACAAAAGTGATTGGCAAAGAAGACTACTACTCCAATCAACTTTGCAATGCAGCTGCACAATAAGTTCAGACACCTTTCATGGATCCAAAAAAAATGTGTTGTCCTGGTGTCAAGAATTATGATTACTACCTATCCTCTATGAGGCGTTTTGGAAGCTCTGAATGGCAAAGCTGGTGATGTTCCTCTCACTATCCACCCATTGTTGAATATTTTTGTAATGGACAATCAGATCTCAAGCTGCAGGCTGAGATGCCCAGTACAAAGCAGTTCCATAATCCAAGTTTACCTGCTGTCTTAACAGATACAAATTTTAAAAGAGATGGGATGATTTTCAACGGTGTCATAACCTGTGGGAGAGACTGTCCTAATAGTGATGTAAAGTGTGTGCTA